TCATCTCAAGTAGTATGTGTTTCCTAAATTTTATAACTCTCAAACAGAGTGATCAGTCTTTTCTAAGAGGTAACAAACAAACACGTAAACTAATATTCATATTAATAATATTAATAAGAATTATTTATTAATCTGATTACTGGTTCTCGTGAAAGATCTACCAGGGAGAGACTTTGTTCAAAAGTCGATTGCTTGGGTACCTCTGTCCCATTCGTGTTTCTACTGTGAAGCAATTGTGTTTGCATGGCTGTATTTCGGTTTGAAGGGTGGGATATGGCTTGAATTTACAGGGTATAAAGGAATAACATCTGAGTCCTCAGGAATGGCAACGCATGGGGGTATCATGGGCGAAACAGTATACTCTGTTATGTCCATGGTACTGCTCATGTCTATAGGCGACGGTTACCACTTTTCATCAGGTGGGCCGTCAGCTTGTTTGCCATTCTAAGTTGTATAAAAAAAATCTATTCTATTATGAATCACGATAGTGGTCATTTTAGACCTTCACATAATTTAGAACCTTAATATTTTTTCGCGGCATTAAACATCTCATTCCATCTTCATTTTCAACTTCAACAAACATAAGTCTTATTCGTCTTAGTTTTTTTTTTAAATGCTGTAGAGTCAGCATCAAAATTTTAAACACTAAGGTTTTCAGTGTCGTAGTATGCAATAGGTAATAACCATTGTATATTCAAATTTTGACCTTATATCCAATATATTGAATAACAATTCAGTAATAGCTCGACAAAGTTGGTACTAGCATAGGATGAACATCGTATTTTTTTTTATAAGTGTTCATCCTTTTTTTGTGTCGACTGTACCATTTTCAGTTTAAATTGGCCGTGAAGCCTTTGTCCTCACTTTCACTGTATACAGTTTTACTCGGATAGTACCTACGGAGTTGCTAAGAAGCGCAATTAGTGAAACAAGAAGATTACTTATTCATTTGAGGTTAAACTCTCACTTGTTGAAACAATTTGAACAATTCTGTAAGTAAGAAGTAGATTTTGTTCTACCAAAAACTGTTTTAATTGATACAAAACGAGTTATTTTGGGATTGGTATTAGGAATTGGGTCTTTGTATGGACCTGTTCTGAAGGATTTTTTTTTTCAAATAAGATAAATTTTCGAATTGGTTTATAAATTATGGAATTTTGAGCCAAATAACATATAAAAGAATAACCTAATTGAGAACCTCCTTTTCCTTTGAAATCGGTTAAAAAGTCATCGTAAGTGCAGCTGAACTATTTCACCTCATAAGAGACAAGAAGGTTAAAAAACTGTTCAGGGATTTTTACACGAATCAGAATCATCTAAACTCTGAGAATATACTCTGTCAGCTGAAAGCCAACCTTGACGTTTTTGGTGTCTCACTGCTGGACAAGTCTCCCTCAACCATATACAACGTAGAATAAACGTGTGTGTGTAGTGTGTTAGAGACCTATGTTTGTTTAGCCAAAACCGTGAAGTCACAATAATAAGAAACAATGTGATTTTCCGATTCTTAATGTGGGTAATATCTCACCAAGTCAAGAGTTCAAGACGCAGTTTACGATTGAATTTACGATGTCTCGTAACGGAATATTTATCGCAGGTCATTTTATTACTCCAATATGCGCGGGCTTGGTATACTTCTTAAAATCCGTTACGGCATATCAAATTGAATTAATAGTCTTTTTACCCGATTGTCCGAATTCTCGAATGAGGGTAATGTTTCTTGTCAACTGGCTTCAAAAAAAGAGGTTATCAATTTGGTTATATGTTTTGTTTGTTACCTCAGAACTCTGTTATTTATACACCGATTCGGAAGACTGTTCTTTTATCTGAAAGGGTATACTTTCAGATTGTCCCCATAGAAATTTTATTAAAATTGGTTTAGTAGTTTAGTTTTTAAATCAAAATAACTGGTTTGATCGCGACTGAAATCAGTGTTTTTTGTGGGTCAAATCTACTGGTTTGGTATTTCTCCTTTTGCTGAAAAAGTTTGCTGCTTCGTTTTTAGTTCTCTATTTAACTCGAATATCACAGACTGTCTACACATTCAGAAACGTTCAACGAGATGCGAGCTAAAAAAATTTGGGATACAAATCCGATTTGCAAATTCGTTATCCGAAGCTATTTGGATTCGACAGATCGGGATTGTAGCTGTTATCCCGTATCCCGCATTCTGTGCCCCATATAAAAGTGAATGCCGCCAACATTTAAATCCTGTATCTAAATTATATTTTATTCTTACCAATATTAAGACCGTAAGTTGTAGTGTAATTGAGGGGACCTGATTTTATTTAGGACTTGCGGATTCCCAAATACACAAAGGACTAATAGGGTTTGAACCTTATTAATTACAAAAAGAATTATTTAAATCGGTTCAAAATTTATTCGCGAAGTTATCGCAAATTTTGAAATTTGATAAATACCTTTTTGAATAAGACCATAATATTATGAATTCAGATTATTTTATAATCTGAATTCATAATATTATGGTCTTATTCAAATAGACTTGTTTACAAGTATACTTAAATAAATCTACTCATTTTTTACGAATCTACTGTGGGGTATGGTGATATTTTGTATCTATGGAATTTGGTATACAGTGTTATCTCTGATGGAAAAGGATTCTTTTATATTCCGATCACTAAACATATGACGCTCATGCAAACGAAGTCACGGGTAAAAGATAGTATAATATGTATAAACACCATATTTAAATTCTGCACCAAATTTAAGTTGAGCTAAAAATAGCACAGAATTGCGGCCTCGCTACTGACGTTGCCAGATTGGAATTTTTCGCAATTTTAAATAAAAATTTTAAATAACTGAAATCTTTGGAGAAACAGGGCTTTGAAGAAATTAGAATAATTATATAAGATAATTTTTAGATTATTTTTGGTATTATATTTGTAAACCGTATAGCAATATAAGTTCAAATACCAATGAAAGCGAATGAAAGCAACATGAGGTGAAGAAATTAGACGGTAGATGAGGACTTTTGTTTCTTCGATGTTTGCGTAGTGGATATATGGCAGAACGTAGTAAAACTCAACACAAGTTTGTGATTGAGTAAGAGGGAAGACAATCATGTTTTTTTATTGTTAGGGAGGTAAACGAGCAAATGGGCCACGGAAAACAGCTACCGTCGCCCATGAACACCTGCAATACGAGAGAAGTTGTTGGTACATTGCCGGCCTTTTAAATGTTTTAGACACGTTTTTTGAAATGCCCCATATTATATTGTAAGGGGGAAACTGAAGACTGATTGAATAATTGAATTTAAATTGGAATTTAGAGATAAAATATTTGGGTACAAATAAAAAATCCCGTCTGGCAATCCTGCTCGCTTTCGTATTTCCAGAAATTGTAAACCGGAGTATTTCGCCGTTGTATTGATCCAGTGCACCCTGGAATTGCACTGCTTGCATTAACAGTATAGCAGGGGGTCATTCGGGCTTTGCGAATTTTCGACTCTATTTCTAAAGACTTAAAGTGCATGAAGTCGCAGCGCCATAGGGGACATAAGTAAGGGGTTTGACCCACGTGTTACATGCATTATTGCGTGATCTGTTGTTTTTTTGTTAGATGTTCGAAGCCAATATTTTTAGGGTTTCGTTTTCGAAAGACAAAATGGAGCATTATTGCTGTCAGCCCGCTGTCTGTCTGTTAATACTATTTATTATATACTCGTAAATGGTCAGTATATCTCTGTTAGTCTCTGTCAGTTTTTCTTTAACTAAACGGGATGAGTGACAGATAGATGTAATCCTAAAAGAGCTGTATATGGACAAAGTTGACGTTGTTTTCGACCTTTTTCCTCGACTACAGTACCAACTTATGGAAGAGTGTATTCTGAATGATCAGTTTAAAGAAATAAAATGTTATCATGGGGATCATGTAGTTAAAATTTTATATCTACGTATTATCCTCATCTCCTCTTATGGATGTTATAAGAGGTGACTAAGGGATTTTTCATATTTTTGGTCTAGAGATGGGATGACAGTGTCCCTCTTAAGTCTAACTGCGGTTGCCAACTCACTTGTCAAAGAAAACCCCCCAAGGTGAGCCGTATGCTTGTTTGCCACCTCAGTGGTATAAAAAAAAGTAACAAAACAATTTACTGTGTTTATTCAACAAATTTTTTTAAATATTAAAACTGACTCTGGATATCTTTTTTGCTTTTCTTTTCTATGTCCAATAGTAGAAAATAAGGTATTTAGGTAGCCATAATCAATTCCAATGAATAAATAAAATTCAAGTAATTGTCAAATTATTGTTTCATCCCATAACGACAGACCCTTACATTTTTATCTCCACGTCATTAAATCTCCCCTCCCAGTCTGTTAAATTACGCAAGTCAGATAATAATACGGCGTCCCCGTATTATATACACTTGTTCACTTCGCCAACTAAACAAATATCGGTATAGATGTGTTTGGGATGTGAAAGGGTCACCATTGTTTGATCTAATTTCTTTTATTTACATTTTGTTCTATTCTTATGCAACTGTAGTAACTACGTTTTGCTTCGCAAAAGAATATTACGTACATATTTCGTGGATATATTTTAATGTATGAGGAAATTTTGCTCCGCACCAAGTTATATTTTGCTTCGCCGAGAACAATGTTGCTAGAGAATTATTTATTTATCTATTTAAACTTTATTGGCCAAATAGACAGACCAATAGACATTATTATTTACTGTAATATGGCAACATATATATATATATATATATATATATATATATAAACATAACAAATTCATAAAATAAACAGGCATATTAATTATGGTATTTATATATTTAATACCATATGCACGTAATTTAATTTTAAAATACTTACTAAATGGGATGGAGAAGTATATAGGCCACTTTTATCCTGATTAATAAATATAGCCCAATATCGAGGACAAAGTCGCGGGTAAAAGCTGGTTATGATGTAAGTTCTGTTTATCTGTAAATTTACATAACTATGATTTGTATTTTTCATTTAAACCTTTTGTTTCAGGAAATGCTGTTAACTCTTCCGAGGTATGTTTAATCTTGCAATAGATAATGTAATATAAATTTATCAATATATCGTTCTTAATTTGCATTAGCTGATACTATTACTTTTTTTTTTTCTTTTACTTTGACTCAATCATCCTTTAAGGAGACCTCTTATTGGTTTATATTTATTTTTGTAATTCTTGCTTTTTTTGTTTAAGGTATTTATGTGATACTATCTATCTTCTAGTATTGAATTTGATTTTCTACAAAAATACAAATATAAAAATAAAACTTAATTGGTACTTCCTTCTTTTTGGAGTTGGTTAAAAAGGGAGAGTTCTAAAGGTTTTCCATACACAGTGTGTTGATGTAACAAAACTCTCAAGTCAGTCTAATTATAGCGGAGATACTAAAGGAACGAATAAATTGGATTACTAAGGCAGAGACACGATGTAACATACATAGCGCTAATAAACAGTATTTATGCTTTTTATATGTAACACCTTGTATCTCATGTTTGAAGTGAATAATAAATAAATAAATATCAGAGATAAAGATTATTAAAGTATTCTGTAATTTTATTTTGACATTTTATTAAACCACAGTAATTATATAGACCGTAATTATGATCTGTGGAAGATATTATATTATGTTCTACCATCGTACAATTCGCTATCGACACAGATTTCACCCCCATATCTTAGAGCCTGGATGGTCGCGCACAGTACAATTGCAGAGATATTTCCTCCCACGAACTCTCAGGTTATAGAATGCGCTCCGTGTCGAAGCTCTTACGAGAGACTACAGCTTGAGGTTCTTCAAAAAATGGGCAAAAAGGTTCTGTCAGGGTCAGCAACGCGCGCGTAATGCTTCTGGTTTTGTATTGGCGTTCATAGGCTACGGTAGTCGCTCACCATCAGGTGGTCCGTATGCTTGTTTGATACCTCAGTGTCATAAAAAAATAGACTTTTGCGCTGCATTTAAAAGAAATGGGAATTAACTCGATCATTTAGGTAATAGTAATCAAAGATCAAGAACGTAAAGCGATTAAAATCATGAAATACAAGACTTTTAATCGAGAAGATGACTTCAAACACAGCGACCTAGAACCCAATGATACATAAAACATTACCACGCTATAGTGTGCAGTCGGTAAATCCATCGAATAAAAACACGGTCAGTGTTGTATGTCTCACCCTCAATATAGTGACACAATTTGTGTGATATGTGACAATAAGTGGGTAGAAGAAAAAACATCTTCCTTTCGAAGCGGAGACATGACATTCAGTCTACTTGAGACCACAGTTGGTGTAACCTGCTCGAAAGATCGAGATAATTCAGGTAAATTATCATAGTTTAACTGATTGCGGTAATTACCGTTTCTTATAAACCGTAAGATATTATAATTGTTGTTAAGATCGAACAGACACATTAAAAAACCACCAAATTTTTATTTATTTACTTAAGTAATATTCTTTATAGCATTTATAAATTATAAATATAAGACCGTTATAAATATTGTGAAACCAACCATTGTTTATCCTCAAAGAGATCTCTTAGTCAAATATGGTGATAAGTAACGTAATAATTAGCAGAATTTAAGATTTTTATCAAATGACCACCGAATTTTTGACAAAAAACTGTACGGTTTAAGAAATGCTCTACAAATCTATTTGTCTATCTTTGCGCCGAGTCCTTTGTGGGATAGGAAAAGGAAACCAAGTGCCAAAAGTCTCTTTGCTTCCTGCGCTTTTATAACTTGGCGTGCATGACGTTTGAAATCGGTTTGCAACTACTGAAAATATTGAAATATTATTATTATATAAATAAGTGTTTTACTTGAAGTATTTGGGGTTTTATTGTTTCTGCCTAACCTAATGGAAGACAGATGTTATTTATAACTTATATTTATATAAATGTATGTTAAACAGACGTATATATACATAGTCTGTGTCTGTGAACCACCTCATTGCTTCCTTTTTTTTGCAACAAAAGAAAAATTGTAGTATTTAAGTTCAAAATTGACAATAAATTATTACTAAATTGTAGAGTGATTTTGTTTAATCGGCACTTAATTAAAATCTAAGAGCTTATTAGAATTACTTTAATGAAACTTTAAGAAAGGTTAGGTTAAAGCCTCTAATCTCCAAAAGCCTAGAGGTTGGGCTATCTTTGAAATTTAATACAGTTTAAACAGGAATCCTACATAAACAGATTCCACTTTGTTGAAATTTCATCGTCAAATTGTTAAAATAATGTTTGTGTTTTACTTCTCTGGCCTTTTGTTTCGACAAGTATTAATATTATTCACGAAATTTACATAAAAAAAAATTGAGTTGGTAGGCACTGGACGTAGTACCTGCGCGTACAAACGCTATTTTCTTTCTTTATTTCCTAACGGGCGAAATAGTAGTTTTAAATAAGTTCCACGTGTGTGAAGGTTACTTCATTTCATCAGGATTTCGGAACTAAAAAAAGTAATGCTATAGACCAATTCTAGATGGCTTATTAAGATGAAACGTGCAGTAGTTTTTAAGTTAGACATTTTGGAATTTACAGTATATATGTCCGTTATATTAATTAGTTAATTTATCGCCCAGTAATGTAATGCTGCCCATCTTTCGACCATTAAGTTTCTTTAGTCGCTTCTTACGACACCCGCGGAAAAGAAGGGTTGACCCTTTCTATGCTGGGACCAACATGAAAATGAACTAGCGAATGCAAAAAAAATATCAAAATCGGTACAGAAATGCCAAAAATAACTTAAAATAATAACAATGTACATGAAAAACTATGTGGGCTAATTAAGTACTTCCTCCATTTCGAAATTGCTTGAAAGCACGACACGCGCTGTACTTGTGTCGGACGTTGCATCTCTACGGAACCCTAAGTTTCCCTCAGGGTTCCTTACCCTTTGAGTGTGGCACAGCTGAAACACGACGCTTACAAATAAATTCTTCTCATATAACTTTCATAATTGAATAATTAGCAATGTACCCCCAAACGAGTGTAAAATGAATCACGGAACTTCAACCGACCCTTGTTTCAGTTCATAGTTGTATGAAAGTTAAATGTAATGAAATTTCATACAACCCGACCAATTCACGTATGCCTCGGGCCATTTGTGAAATTATGCATACATATCCATTATTCAATTTCGCCGAATAAACATTCTGTTCGCATTGTATTCCTGGCTTTGCTCTGTATACGCTATGTTAATTTGAATGAATATACTAAAGAGCCGTTTGTTTGTACTCGGCGTTAATTTGCGAAGATGATTATCATATGTTATAATTTTTAGTAATTTTTAAAAAATTACGCAACAATAAACAGATTCAATTTATTTTAGGATTAACATGGGCATACGGATAGTATAAAAAAAAAAGAAATTTCTAAATCGGTTTATAAATGACGGAGTTATGAGGTAACTGATTTAAAAAAATACAACCTAATCGAGAACCTTCTATTTTTTTTAAGTCGGCTAAAAACCACAAATATGAGAGACGGTGACGTCAGCGTGATTTTTAACCAAGGACCCAGACATAACAGCGGACCACAGCTAGTTAAAAGACTAAATACGTGTTACTTATACCAATTACATCCAACGAACATGAGTGGAAACGTCATCTCTAACTAGACGTATGAATGACTAATTGGCAGGGGAGTGTGTCTAGTTAACCAGATTTTGTAACGAGCAAACATTGATAAATTGTTATTAAAGTGGTTAATATACCGGTACGATGGTTAGACGGCAGGGAGCGAGGGATCCGATAAGTCAGACATTACGCGTAATTTAGTTTTCAAACCCTGCGATGATTCCGGGAATGTGTATTGTTTCTCGTTCTATTAAAATTAGTAATTTATATAAAATTCCTATTAATCCCTCTAATCTTGAATGCTCTTTGTGGAAGTCTTCTGAAAAGACTGGCATGAGTTTTTTTATGGATAATAATGGAATGGTAATGCCGCCTACACAAACGGTTAACGCTGGCCGGGCACCAGTAAAAGATGATAGGTGACGATGAAAGCCATAGTTCCACTAGAATTAACCAAGATAGTATCCAGGGGGAACCGCATGGAGGTCGACCTGAGAGGGTGTATTGCTAGTAATGGTGAAATTAGACCCCATTACTATCCTTTCCTTTCAAGACTAGCATGTTGTAACACAAAGTATATATATAATAGGTGAGAATGAAATGGTTACCTCATCTATGTTATAGGTATATGCTAGTTTCTACGATAATTTCTAGAAAACTTTATTATAATTTTATTAAATTATATTTAAATATACTATAGACGATTACTTCAATTTTTTTTTGGTACGAGTATATACGTAGGTACATAGAGAACACCCATATCAATACAAATAGACGGATTTATGAATAATATCTGTACTGTGCAGAAGTCGAACCCGCAACCATTGTGAGATTAGGCTGTGTGTTAAATCGCTATTTCATCACGGTCATCTATATTAATATAATAGCTAATATAATATCTCCAAATTTTAAATTTATAGTTCCACCACCTATATTAATGTTATACTCACCAATTTAGAAAATTTGCCTCAAATTATCTTTTACCACAAAACAATCAACAAAAACAACAAGTATCGATTCTAGCGCCACCTAGTATTTCATATCCGAGTTTGTTTAGTGACCAACCATAAAGTAATGCTCTCTCCCATGTTCTCTAAAGACGCGATATTTATCTCACCATAATTATGTTGTTGGTTTATACGATATCTGTGTATCTGTATGTTAAATTTAAAACGGTCCATGTAAATATATGCATTACAAGTACAATGCGTTAAGATAAAATTCAAATATGGAACGGTACATGATTCGTTGACAGTTCTATATTTGAATTTTATTCAAATATAATTAAATTCTATTTAATTGATATCATCATACCAGCCCTTAACTGTCCACTGCTAAACATAAGCCTTCTCCAGAGGGGAAGTTTTTCCAGTAGTTGCCAAGTTTGGCAGGCGGGTTGGGAACCGCAATTAGGCTTATAGTGATGATTTAAGAGGGACGCTGCTG